ACTTGATGAGGGAATGCCTTGACAATCCACAGCAGACGTGCAACAAGTAAAATCCCACATGACTGCACGCTTTAACAGGCAGTCAAGCAGGTCGCACACTAGAAGCGCCGCGACAGCGAGCACATGACAGTTTAAACTATCACACACCAAACGCGCACATTTGCATGATATTTAACATGAAACTAATCAGATGGCGATCTGTGGGCCGGCTGAAATGAGAACTGCTTCGTGAATCGTGGCTGGGCGGCGCCGGTGTGTGTATAGAAACCTGTTTAGAATTCTAAAATCCATCGTGTGGTGCTGTGCGGCGCGTCGCCGAGAAGCGCTTCTGGTGTGCTTCCTGCTTCATACAGAGAGTGAACCAAAACGCATTGGTGCCATTATAATGTATTAAATATATATTTTTTTTAAAAATCACGATTTCTCGATTTGATTCAAAATTAAATCGTCTTAAAACATAAATTCGAATTAATAAAAAAAAAAAATTGGAAAAATCGCCCAGCCCTACTTGGGACAATAGACAGGATTGTTACTGGCCCGATCGGACCACTGATGCGCCGTCACTAAAGTTTAATTCGCCTGTGACTATCTGTCAGTTGCGTGCAAAAACAGTCAGAATCGAGAAACAGTTTGTGTTTTTAAGCCTTTAAACACTACCTTCTCAGTTCCTCTTATCTGATTGGATGTTGTGAGCATTAGGGCTGGGCGATGTCCACCAATTTGGCATCATATGATGTCTAATGTGAAACATCGTGATGGCATCGTCATCATGTGAAAAGCGGGGTGGTGAGGGGATCCGGGGGTGAGAAGGGTGCGCGACTTATTTGAGGACCGGGAGGAAGACGTGCGATTTCCAGGAGAGATTTCCAGGAGATTATCACTCGTTTGTGGGCATTATGAGTCCTTCAAATGCATAGAGACGCCAGGAACTTCCGGGAGACTTGGGATGTCTGAATATCACGTTTAACTATAGTGAGACGCAATCCAGCGGTACATCCTTCATAAACTCTCCGACGTGCACTGCTCTCTGCCTGGAGCTCAGAGGAGCGCATGACAGTGTGTGGCTGTGTGTGTGGTCACGTGATGTGCGTTTTCAGCGGACGGAGGGCTGTTCAGAAATGCTAGGTAAAACACGGTGTGGATGTGGATACCGGTGGATGTTTTCGTTCTAAAATGCCATTTTAACGCTAAGACGTGTTAGTGTAAACAGGGCCTGCATGTGAATTTTTCGCGAGCGGGTTTGCGACGGGGGTGGGGCGATGGATCGCGATGCCGGCTCAGCATTGTGTTGTCTATTGGCGTCGGAGATGGACGATGGCATCGTCTATCGGCCCAACCCTAATGAGCATGTTATTTTGGCACAAATTTTTATTTATTTATTTATTAACATATTTTTTAATTTCCTTTTTTTATTTACTTATTTATTTATTCATTTTTTTATTTTCTTGTTTATTTATTTATTTATTTATCTAATTTTATATATTTATTTATTTACATATTTTTTATTTACTTATTTACTTATTTATTCAATTTTATTTATTTATTTATGTACATATTTTTTTATTTACTTATTTACTTTTTCATTTACTTATTTGTTTATTTATTCATTTTTATTTATTTACATATTTTTATTTACTTATTCAATCACTTATTTATTTACTCGTTTTTATTTATTTACTTATTTATTTATCCATTTACTTGTTTATTTACTTATTTATTTACTTGTTTATTTATTTATTTATTTACTTATGTACTTATTTATTTTATTATTTTCTTTTAATAGATTTTTTAAATTTAACTATAATTTTATTATTACTTTTTTATGTATTCCCTCATCTGTAAGGGTGTTAAATTGTTATTAAAGGGGTTGTTCTGTAAAATAATATATTGAAAAAATCTTAAAGTAAAAAAATAATAATAATAATGGATATAGTTCAAGGTAAATAATCCATTTGTTGTACATCATTCCTATTTAAAGTGTACAGGAAAATGCGTAAAAGAATAAATCTGGGACCCGGAGGTTCAGACTTGAACCCTGATTTAAATGCTAGATGTGTAGACGCTTACAGGCGAATAGATTACATGTCAGGAGCCAATCAGCTCACACCATGCATGCACCTCACTGGCTGATAGATGCATGTGTGCTCAGAATCCAAGAACAGACTTTTCTGTTCAAGTGCATAAAACATCAAAATATGAGCTCTGGTGTATAACTTAATAAATGAGTTAACATGAATATTTCATTAACATTAACTTCAGTTATGGAATGATTAACAGATGTGTTGTTCACTGTTAATGCAATCTTATTTTTAAGTGTTACCCACACGTGCCAATAAATAAAAAAACACACACCTGCTGTAGAGATATTCATTAGCTGAAATGGTTAACGAATCACACATTTTCCCAACACTACTATCACATTACAGTTCTCTAATTATTTACCCAAAATCTGATAAAACTGACACAGTCAACAGAGCAGATCTGCAATGGTGCTTGAACACACAGATTACTTGTGGGACTTTAAACACACATGAACTGAATGTATTATTATGGTTATGAATTGAGTTAAACGCCTAATCAAGTGCAAAATCCTGATTATTGTCAGCGCTCAGACAAAACATTTGTACAGTGATTATTTCATTATCAAGGGTGCAATGCAGCGTCAAGGATATCATTCAGCAACAGCTGTGAAAAGCATGCCGACATTTTATTAAATGCAGGGTTGCTGTAACCCAACATTGGGTCAAATATGGACGAACCCAATAGCTATGTCTTCATCCACCTATTTTCATGCACATTTTCAAAATTTAAATGATCCAATAAGACTTAGTGTTAATGAAGTTTGCAGCTTTCCATTGTTGCAGATCTGAAATATTACTGGGCTGATTGTAAAAAGCAGTGGTGTAAATTAACTAAATACTCAAACTACTGTAATTGAGTATTTTTTACTCGCGAATTGTAATTTACTAAGTAGTGTACTTTAAATGTGTACTTTTACTTTCCCTTGAGTACATTAATATATTATATGATAATATATATTTACATACATACATACATATATATATATATATATATATATATATACATACATATAT